CTGTGAGGTTCTTGGCTTCTTTGATCCAGACCTGGAGCTCACCACCTTCCCCTGTTTTGCCTATGAAAACCCAACACAGCAAAAACTAACCAACCCTCATTTCCACCACCTTTCTGGCAAGGTCCTGCTGGACATCACAGAGGCAGGAACAGAGCCCCTGGGATCTCCTCTTGTCTCCTCCCTTACTGATGAGGTGAGGGCAGACAACTGGTCCAGCCCCAGGAAGGCACTGGGACCACTCGGCCAGCCTGAGGACAGCCAGGTCTGCCCCGACCCAGTGCAGAGGAGAAGGCTGCAGTGGCACCATGCAAGAAACCCACCCAGACCCAGCTTGCATGGCCACGAGCAGGTCCCATACGCTACACAATGATCCACAGCACTCACCCTTCCTGCTGTTCCCAGCCCCAGGGTGCCTGGGAGATGGGATGTACTTCATGGAGACGACCAGCTCCCCCTTGTACTGGTGGAGACCAGCAGCATCCACCCCAATCTGCAAAGAGAAAGACTTAAACACTGCTGAAGGGTAAAGTGGACACAATGGTGGTCTGGTCTGCCTGCAGCACCTCCCCATGCTGTGCCAAAGGCTTGGCCTCTCCTAGATGTGGTACAAATGCCTACGGACCCTCTGCAGCATCACAAGGTCAGACTCATACCAGCTCCTTTAGGATCCTTCTTTGGCTCAACCACCCCCCTTAGGAATCCCTATTTAGGGGTTTCCACAAGCTGCTCAAGCCCCAGCACCACCAAGGGCTGAGCCCACAGCATGAGTTAGTCTACAGAACCAGACTCAAGCCCAGCAGCAGCATCTGCTGCCATGGAGCTGCATCAAGGCTGTCCCTGCCTTGCTCTGCAACCAGAGCAGGATGTCCAGGCCAATTTCCACCATTTGTTTCCCTGCGTTGGCTCCGACTCCTCCCGGCTGGAGCAGAGCCAGGAAACAGAATGGAAATACCTGATGGAGCAGAGACAAGCTCCACAGCATCACACAGGGGACTTGCTGAGGAAGAGGAGGGGAGCTCTCCGCCCTTATTTACTACAGCAGCACTGCTGCCTGCTGCTGGGGGCTTCACTTCCCCAAGGGTTCGACTTGGCACAAGCTTTTGGCCGCTCCTGGCCGAGGTCTCTGCATCCCGGCCGGGCAGCGGGATGCTGTGGGCACAGCGGGGAGGGCAGCACCTTGCCGTGCAGGGGCAGGAACTCCTCCAGGTGCCTCTGGCAGTCCCAGGCATGCAGCGGCACCTCCACCTCGCCCAGGAACGTGTTGCGGCCAAAGCGGTCGTGGTGCCAGACCGAGAACTGCAGCGTCCTCTCGGGCAGGAGGGACCTGTGGATCTCGTACTAGAGGAGAGACAGCACAAGGACCGTGAGCAGGCAGGGACGGGCTGGGCACACACATCAGGAGGCAGGTTTGAGGAGCAATGGGTGCACACAGGAGACTCTTTGTCTTCCTTTCCAAGCCTGCTGAAACCTCAAAGCACCAGGGAAGCACTGCAAGAGTGCATCTTCTACAGGCAAGGAGTCCTCAGAGCCCATCAAGAGCCAGGACCAGGACTCATGGCATCCAGCCATCCCACCACATCCCACCACAAGCGAAGCTCTGCCAGGCCACTGAGCCTCGGGTGGTCAGACCTCAGCAAACACAGGGCTGTAGGAGCCTGGGAACCAAACTAATTCCCACTTCCCTGCTTTCTGGAGAGTGCCTAACATCAGGGATGCGCTGCCAGGCTCAGCGATGGAGCCAGCCTGTCCCACCACCCCACGGAGGATGCAGTGGGGATGGTGAAGGGCAGCCTCTGGGCTCAGAACTGCCTTATCTCTGCCCCTGCAGCCGTGCTGCCTCCCTCCAACCACTGTAACCTGCCTGCAGTGGCTCAGGAGCCTTCTCCATGGAAAGCAACACCCAAGATAAGCAGAACCAAGCCCTGGGGGATGCCACAGGACCAGGAAGGCAGCTTGTGGCACACATCCACATCTGCAGCTGCACCTACATCCCATCATAGCCCCATCAGAGTCTGGGAGGGGGTTTTTCCCAGCTTTCAGGGTGTCTGGACATGGGTCCTCTGCAGAGGCCCCACACTCCATGATTTGGAGCGCATCCCTCCCCTGGTTGGTCCAGCAGCATCCCCAGGGCTGAGAGCCTGCATCCCATCCCATGCCCATCACCTTGAGCAGCTCGTTGTACAGGGGGTTGATGGTGTTGCGTTTGATGGTCGTCTTGCGCTTCCCTTGCCGGGATTTGTCGGGCAGCAGGTAGGTCTTCACGTACCTGAAGGGAGGAACCGCACCAAGGACTCACTACAACCAACCCCCTGAGCCCCCCAAGGGCAATCCCAGACCTCCTGCCTCGCCAAGACAACCCACCACCCCACAACCCAGCCATCCCCCCCTGGTTCTCACGGGTTGGAGCGCTTCTTGCCCTCGTCCCCATAGGCCAGCTGGCGACATTCCTTCACGTGGATGAACAAGGTCTGTGTCTTCTGCTCGTAGCTCAAGGAGAAAGAGATCCCCCCAGTGACCACGACGCTGCCGAAGTCCCCGGCCTCGCTGTAGATGCTGACCATGCTCCCCAGTGTGCTCTGGAAGACACGGCAGGGCTGAGCCAGCGCAGCATCGCTTATGGCCCCTCCTCATCCTCAGCAAGGCCTCCTCTTCACAGTCCCTCTTATCCCCATGGATGGGGATGGCTGCTGAGTGTATCCCACCACATGCAGGCTCCACGGAAGAGAGCTGGGTCTCCTTGTGTTGATTCCCTTCAAGGC